AACAGGAGACTATAGATTACGCTTCGAAGTTGCTGCTGTCGACTCTGCCATTAAAATAATGCACTCCTAGTCATGACATGGAGATGGAGACCAGTGTGCTAACGTTAACTTAATGAAAAACCGGAGGCGAAAAATGACCCGATTATTAAATTTTAAGGAAGACCGACATTCCAATGGTTACACACTTTTGTTTCCTCAGTCGCTGTCGAAAAATATGGAACGATTCAGTATCTGGCCTACAAGTAGTACTGTAATGCAGGAAGGGTCGAACATGAACGAGTCGAGAAAGTGCTACGATGAATGTCATATGCTTCACACCTGAATACAACAGAATTCATAGTAGACTTCTTAATTTCGATTCATGGGGCGGACTAAACACCGCACAACACACCCGGTCCAAAGATCGTTGTTCGATCTCTCCCAACAACGGATGGTAAATGATCAAACGAAAGCAGACATCGGTTCCCTCCAAGTTGGTGACCGCCACAGAGAGTAAGTCCGGCAGAGAGCAGAGCATCCGAACAATGGATAGCACACAATTCGTTTCGTCCCCTCTCTACGGATGAACAGATGCCACGCGAAGCGAGAAACGATTGCACGTCACGCGCCGAGAGGCTACGGCGGTTCATCACAATCGAACAAGGTCAAGTGTGCAAGAAAACCACGCAAACGTTCAATGAATGAGAGTGACTTCGTCGTTGTTTAAAAAGCGGACCGCAAACATGACTAATTCCACCAACTGCGGGTCGGTCGGCTCAAGTCGTTGCAAGGCAAATGACCACCGGTCACTCACCAGTCGCTCACCTGTTTGGCTCGCTGGTGAGCTTTGCGCTGGGTGGCGATCAACTTCTCGAGGTGGGTCAGCTGCGACTCGTAGATCTGGCTGATGTCCGTTTCGTTGGAACCAGCGTCGGTGGTGGCGCGGTCGACGACGGCGAACGAGTCGCGTTGCAGCGCAGTGAATGGGTCCCGCAGACCGAGCTTGCCATACCGTGCTTGCTGCAGCAGGTGCTTGGCCTTTTCCGCCTTTAGAGTAGCGATGACGATGTCCCTCGCCTGCAGTTCACCCTCCAAACAACTCAGCAACTTCAGCAGGTCCCTCTGGTTCAACTGTCCGTGTGCCAGCGAGCTCTAAAACGTGAACATTATTACGACACCGCATTATGACGGCAAGACGCTTTCACTTTCTCCCACGTCTGTGCCTAGTGACGTAAAGCACACTTCGTAACTACAACGCAGAAGACACCGACACTGGTTATGACAACGAATTCGTCATAACGTCAAACATTTAACGCGTGCTAAAACGGGCAACTCACCAAGTCAAAGTTATTCACATCCTTCGATCCGTTGCAAAACGGTTTATTGCTTTTGGACAAATCCTTACTGCAGCTCGGCTCGTCCGCCATCCGAAACAAGTCTATCTGTCTTGTCAAATCGCTAAACCAGCATCATTGGCGCCTTCATTAAACACATGGTTACTACAGTAGACCGTTTTTCTCTTTCGTGTACTGTAAGTGATTGTCTAGCATAGAGCAACTTATAACACGCTGCCACCAGCAAATACTTCCTGTTTTATTAAGTTCTGAAATCCTTATTTCTCTGAGTTCACTGCACAAGTTTGCTGCACAACACAATTAACATAAGCGAAAACACCGCATTAAAAAAGTTGTACTAAAATGCTTGAAGCTTGAAGATTTTTTTACGAGATGACACTGAATACGGTAAGTCAGTACTTCCTACTCTGTCAATAAGTACATATGCTCGAACATTTCTAATAATTCTCAATTCTTTTCCAAAAAATGATACATAATGAAAAAATGAAAGAATTTGCATTCTTTCCGTTTGTTTGATGCAGTTTCTTAAATAACGAAGATGATTCATCAGCAATGCTGGAGAAAATGCGACTATAATATTTGGAACGAGGATTCATCTGTAGAAGGTTTATCAAACTTTGAACCGAATTCCTTCACAAAAACTTCAATTTTTTGGCAAAAAAATATGCCGATTTGTCATAAGCACCGAAACAAAACAAGACCATTACACGTTGCTGAACTGATAAATAAGAATTTGTTTATAATTTCTGACGCCCTCGCTGATACGGCACCGTAGATGACTTCAAGTTGATGGGTCTTCTGACTGGTTTCTTACGCAGAGAACAAGGAAATGTTTTAAATGCAATAATTCCAAGGATTCGATAGAATTAGCATAGAACGTCATCAAGAAATGAGCAACAAACAAAGACAAACTGGTGGGTCAGTTGGTGCT